TTACAGAAAATAACAGGTGCTGTACCGTGAAAAAATCACGAGCAAAATATTTAGGAAAATCCAAAGTAAACACTGTTTCCAACCACCAGAACCGCAACAGTTATTTCGACGCGCGTTTCATAAATCAAGTTAGCGTCTTTAGGTAATGAAGAAGTATTCATTTCTGATATTCATGAGCAGTGCTCGTTTTCGATTTATCCTGAGTCAATGACTTCAGTTCTACCTTTTATACAGTGTATAAAATACAAATGGAATAAATTCATTATTTCGCTTACGGTACATATTTTAACAAAATCCCTAAACACGTCAAATTCAAATTTTAATTTGACATACTTCAACGGAAAAATGCTACCCCTACCTTTAACCCCTATCGGAAGACAGGTACATCCCCCAATTTTTTGAATAGGAAGTATAAGCTTGTGATATATTGCTTAAAAGGTGTCTTCATTCTCTATATAGAAATGTTATCGCTTCCAAGTTTATTGCAAAAATCAAGATGAAATAAATTAAAATCATATGGTTACCAAAATTCGATAAAATACACTCAAAACTTATTGCAATATATTCAAAACTCATTTCATGTTGAGGTATTGCTAATAAGAAAGTAAGCAAAAACCATAGCAATGTTATTTTTAGATGGTATCCTTTAAAAAACTGTAAATAATTTCCGGGCCAACGTTAGTTCAAAATGCATCGTCAACTTGTTTGGTATGTTACATTAGTTGTCACTATTTTAATTCAAGTTCAAAGTTCGTTAACTTCAAGTCTGACAAATGATTAGATTAACAGAAATGCATAAAATAACAGTTTTGCAAATGATTGGTTACGGAGATAAAACCCGAACACAAAAGAAAGTAGCTCCCCTATTTCATGAGAAATTTCCTAATTTACCGTTCATATCTCATGGAACAATAAGCAAAATACAGAAGCAGCTTCGCGAGCTTGGTCATGTGTAGCAGATAAAAAAATCAGCTGCCAATGCAATGAATGATGAACTCAAATTAGATATGATGCTTGAGTTTGAGGAAAACCCACATACATCGAGTAGACATTCAATGTTAGCCATAAATTTTTGTGGGCAAATGATGGACATGTTGGATAACAATATCATCCAATTAGAAAATGTTATGTTTTCTGATGAGTGTATTTTGTCTCTTAACGGTCATGCTACACTCAATACCCTCAAATAGTTAATGTTTGGGTAGGGACTGTAGGAAACCATATCATCGGTACCTTTTTCAATGAGAGCAATTTAAATGGCGATAATTATTTGGCACTACTCCAAAATTATGTCATTCCACGTTTAGCAAATTCATATCCTGACCCAGAAAACCCTCAAGTTCCAGTGAATACGATGTCGTTTCAGCAGGATATCTGTATTAAAAATTACAAAAATACAGTGGTGTCTTCATCTCAAGTGTGTCACACTGTAGAATAAATAAAGTTTTCCATGGCAGTGAGATCCAAAAACCTGAAACAGTATGCTTCTTCCAAACATCAATTCGCAACAATTCTCCTTATAAACTATAATCAAAAATAATGAAAATGATTGATTTAAATAATTACTGTTTTGAGAAAGTTTGATCGGGATAGTATGAATCATATCATGAAACGGTTTAAACTGAAATAAAACATAGATGTCTAATGAAAATGACAATCAATTGAGTGCAGAAAATGCAATGAAAGATAAGTGCGATATTTGCCTGTCATTATCATATCGAATGTTCGAATAATGATATATTCCATTTCATATAGACATTTATGATATTCAAATTGTTTCTCCACATTACATTCAGTCACTGCATAATATAAACATACAGTATTTATGCATGCATCAAGATAATTGGACTGTGTGATAAAACACTTTGGATTTCAAATGTCCCAATGAAGAAATTCAATAATGATAAATATGTTAGTACTCATCTTCCAATTTGTGTCTCTGTGTTTACATACAAAATGGAGCTCGATCTTATTGCAAACAAAGTGTTGCGTAATTATAGAGTTTACAATTAACGTATTCGAAAAACACTTTGTAAGATTTTCACTAAATGATTTTACAAAAACGCAACACGTGTTTCGCCATAAAATGACTTCTTCGAGCGTGTTTTTACAATTGTATCAAGGAGTTGAGGTTACCGTCAGTGAAATATGGATTAATTATATGATACCTTAGAATTCAAGTCTAAATATTCCATTTTTGGTGTGTTCGCGAATGTATTTCTTTTCAATACTAACGAGGATCTTCATCATTCCAGCATCTGCAAATGTTACTGTCGACTATCCCATTGGAAGCACATAGTATAGATATGATCATTAGCACAAATTGACAACTCATTGATCTTTGTACAAAACTCTTATATGCCTGTCTGAAATAACCGGTAGCGGCGCAAAAATATATAAATATAGTAAAGACTACGTACGTAACTACAAAACAACATAAAAGAACAGCAATATGAATTATTTACTTAAAAAGTTACATTAAAAATTTATCAATGATATAAAATAAATTTTCTTTCAGAAATCGTTTTATGGAGTTCCGAAATAATTACATTTGTAGGCACTTGTTTTTTTTCCTTAAGTATAATTAACTTATAAGAAATGCCCTAATTCGTTCGAATAAAAATTGAATGAAAATGGTATAGTTCTATGTTCTATTGAACATGTTTTGTGGAGTCATGGAATATTTGAATTCCTCCATTATAACATTCATATTTCAGGTAAAATAGGAATATCTCTAAGTGTTCAATCTTACTTGCCTGCGACGGATTCATTGGAGGATAAATTAGCTGTCGAGAGAGTTTACGAGTATACGGTGAGTTATATATTATTTTCGATAAATTTGTTAGTACTGATTAGGTTTTAACCAAATATCTCCTGATTTGAGTTTCTTTCATATCAGTCAGTCAAAGCAATAACAAACTTTGAGTTCATCTGGGAACATTGTCATATCGATTGGTATTCGTAAAGATTATTTCCCAAAATATTCTTAGCTCAATGCATCGATATAAATACAAAATATCAATTCTCGAATTGTATCAATTTTACTATCTGAATAACGAAAAATTTCCACAAGAACATTTGTTAGAAAGTTCAATCATTAAAAACACAGTATTCAAATATATGAACACAGAACGTGATTGACTTAAATCCTATTTTGCAACTAAAGGCTTTCAGTTGAAATCTATCGTGCCTTGACATGAGACCTCAGAGTCGGAACCCAAGTCACCTGACTTATTTGACGCGGCTGACGCATTAACTGAAAAATATTTTATTATGCCAAAAAGTTTCGGGAGGTTAAATAAATATTTGAAGTGCGGCAACTCGTTTATCATTTGTGTTTCTTGTATCTTTTCATTAAATTGGTGAGTTTTATATTTGTCCCTATAGAGTTTGCAACAAGAGTTGTATACATATGTGTTATTTTGTCGAGTTCACTTTTTTCTTTGTATTGTTTAAGGAACAGAGATTTATAAATTAGTTATCTAGGATCCAGAATATTCGATTGTTTATATAGTGCTTCGGTTGTATATGTCATATTTTTGTTAAACATTAATTTTAGAAATCTCCTTTGAATGACTTCTGGTGGACTCCTCCCCAACCCGCCATGCAATATGTTATGTGACTTTGCACTAGGCTATAATATAAAGTTTTTTTAATGGCTAAGGTTTAGTATGTCCTGAAAGTGCCGAAACTTATATAAGATGCACCTTAATTTTCTTATGATGTAATCAACTTGGTGATTTCATCTTAGATGAGAGTCGATTATGACTCCAAGATATTTAAGATGAGATACAAATACAGATTTGAAGTTGGTTGTGAATTGTCAAGGAATTGATATCTGGAAGGGAAGACTGGTAGCTACAAAATGGTATAAAAACTGTTTTTCCGATAGTAAAGGTTAATTTTCTGAAATCCAACCAATCTTTCATTACCTCCAGACCATTTTTCGCTTTTTTTAACTTCTTGCCAACTTTAGTTTAGTTGACAAACAAAAAACGAAACGAGACAATACGAAGTCATTACAATAGTGATTGACTTAAATTATGAAATCCTTCAATATCATATCAAAACAGAGAAGATTCGAATTCCTCAATAGTATTGTGGTAAATTAATGAATTACCTGTTTTAAACAAATTTATTTCCAACAATATTTCAATAATCATAAACTAATATGTTAATACAACACTTAGCAACTAACGCTTAATACGTGATTGACTCAAATCCTATTTTTCAACTGAAGGCTTCCAGTTGAAATCTATCGTGCCTTGACATGAGACCGCAGAGTCGGAACCCGACAGAAAAGATTCGAATTTCTCAATAGTATTGTGGTAAATTAATGAATTACCTGTTTTGAACAAATTTATTTCCAACAATATTTCAATAATCATAAACTAATATGTTAATACAACACTTAGCAACTAACGCTTAATTTATTTCCACTATTTGAATTTCTTATTTAGCCGCTCGATTCACTTTCTGAACTGCCCTCCTGGGTCGAGAAGACGGGCTTATAACGGTAAAGGTCCTGTCTAGAATTCTGTAGTCGGTTCGGTACTAGAATTTTACCAGCGATTCCCGACTGCATTCTTTCGAGGTGAGGTCTTGTGTTTGTTCGATGAGTCGGATGGCCTATCAGTCAGGGGCGGCTTCAGAATATTGCCCCCTTCTTAAAGACGTTTCGCCTCAAAATATATCGTCCTTGGCGTGTGTTGATACCTGCAGGATACCCTGTATATGCACTGTGAAGTTCGATGGAAGTAACACTCCACAGTTTTCATGCTCGGTCGTGTAAGATGATTACCACACACCAAAATCTTGATGCCGCTGGATATGAAGATCGTTTCCAACATACTTCTCACAATTCTTCTATCCAGCCTGTCTAGCCCAGAGGCTAATTTCGGTATTGCCAAGTCCACAAAATTCTGGTTGAGCATCGTGTTCCTCAGTCTTGTAAAACTCCTTCAGACATCTTGATAGGACGGTTTGCCTCGAGAATGCTTTTTAGTCACCAAGTAGAAAATGTTTCTCTGGCCCTTCTTCAACTATAGTACTCCTCCGACTTCAGAATTATGTTCTCGTAATGTTTGAAGCTGACCAAATTTTTTGATGAATATCATAGCGATACCCCTGGACATTTGTAGATCCTCTGCCACGCAGCGAGCTAGTGCGTAATCAACTGAAACCTTGAAAAGCTCTCGTGTCTCTCGTTGAGTTACCCAATGTACGACCTTCTGTCCGTTCGTTTATAAAGACATGAATTTCTGGAGAGTTATTTCATCCTCTATTGGTCTGAGTGTACGTTATTTCTAGCATAAGGAGTCAATCTATTAAAAAAGACGACCCTAGGCTTTTCTCGAAGTGGCTTATAGATTCGGTAGGGTTATACAGCCAATCTAGGTCACCAGTTTCGAATCCTTTAGCATTTGTCCCGATGTCATAGGCCTTCTTCATTCTATCGCTGGCACTCCGGATGTTCAGACGGACTCGTTCATGAATGTCGTCTATTATCTGCCGAAGCTTGCTGACATATTCTTTCCCCGCAATGTCTTGTTCTGGCGGCGTCCCAAATTTCAGATTGCAAGGGAGCCGCGGCTTTCGGCCCATTATTGGTAGGGGTTTGGCCAGTTGACTCGTGCACTGCCGAACGATAGGCCAACAGGGACAGGTGAGGGTATTGGTCCCAGTCTCTTTGATGGTCAAACACTACTTTGGACAAGTGGCGGTTTATAGTCTCATTCATTCGTTCCACCATTCTATCGGACTGTGGATGTCTGTAGTTCTGGTCTTCCGAATGTCCAACAGTTTACACATTTCTTGGAACAGGTTGTACTCGAAATTTCTGCCCTGGTCCGAATGCAGCTTCAATGGGACACCAAATCGACATATCTATTCCTTTACTAGGACGTCAGCGACTGTAAAGGCTTCCTGGTTGGGCAGGGCATATGTTTATGTCCCCTTACTGAAATAGTCCATGGCTACCAAGATGTATTTATTCCCAAGGTCGGACTCTGGGAATGGCCGGCGATTTCAGTGGCGATTCTCTCAAAGGGACTACTCACGTTATACTAGCGCATTGGAGCTTTTGGTCGTATACGAATTCCGTTACTGACAGCACATACAGCACACTTTTTGCACCAGTCCTTGACGTCGGCTTGACAATTAACCAAGTTAAACCATTGTCTCACTTTCTGAAGGTCTTCGTTATTCCCAGATGTCCTCCAGTGACTCCTTCATGGATATCTTTGAGCAACTCCCGTCGTCTGTTCCTGTGTACTACTATCTAGCGCCTTTCTTCTGCACCGTCTTCAGACTCCAACACCCGCTTCAGAACCCCATTGGGCCCAGTAGGACTCTACCGCTGGCGAATAACCTACTGCCTCCGGCCACGATGGTCTTTGAGTAATTTTCTTCCATTCGGTGACAACCAAGATCGTATTTCTCTTGGTCTTCCTTAATCTTATTGTCCTGCCAGTTGTCCCTTTTCTTCTGTTCGTGAGCAGTCATCGGAACAAGATCTCCGTGACAGAGCATCTGCGTTTTTAAGGGGGACTTGCTGGATACAGGCTGACAATTGCCCCTTGCCATTGACCCTCTCTAGTTTTCCTGATTCGATGTTGGTTGTTTGAATGCTTGGGCATGTGCGTAGCAGTCCCAGCATCTTATTTGTTTTCTCTCAAGCAACACTTCTTCTATTACCTTTCTGATGGTGACCTCAATATCAGCAGGTATCTGTCCATCTTCCTTAGTAGGTCGAACTTTGTTCTTGCACTTGCAGGATTGTTTTGCAGCCTCAAACTCCAGAGCGCTTGCCAGTTCATCCACGAGATGTTTGGGACGAGCTAGTGTCAAGGCCTGCCTCATTTCTTGGTCACGAAGTCCGTCAAAGAATGCCTGAACTGCTCTAGGTGGGCCTGCCTACACCGTAGCTCAAGATGCTTTATAAGTTGGTCATAGTCTTCCTGTTGTTGGGCCGTGAGGATTTATAAAATATTACTTCTACACGCAACGCCAATGTTAATCCTACCGCCTATTCTCCTGCATTCCATCTATTCGCTCTAGCCGCAGCTTCGAATTGGTTTTGCAACTTGCTAATAATTTCCTTCATTTTGCTGAATTCTGCCTCAACTCCACCTTCCTTTGATTTCATCGCCTATTTTTTTACCATTCTCTTTATTTCCGCCCCGATTTCATCTTTGATCTCCCCTTTGATTTACTCTACTTCCATGTTCATTTCCTTCCTGATTTTGTCTATCTCTGTCTCGATGGTTCCAATCCTTTCTTCGAGTAGACTCGCCACGAAACAAAGTTCTTTCTTTAAGCCTTCCTCATTTTCTAGAAGGTCTTCCTTGAAGCTATTCGAATTCTCTAGATATTATCTTCCACTTTTCGAATTTGGTTGAAGTTCATCTTTCAACGATTTGGTATTCCCATCGAGTTTGCTCATTATTGAACTCAAATCACCCCCAGAAACTTCGAATAATATGTTTCGGCCTCTTCTCCTGATTCAGTCAAGTTATCCCACAGTCTCTTCTGGAGTACTGATTTCTTTCCAGAACAATCTAGCTCCCTCTTCTCCAATTCTTGCTTCAATTCGGCGACTTTCACATGTCCACTAGGCGCCCTTTCCTCGAACACATATGTCTATGTCTATGTTCCACAAAACTGTGGAAATATTGTGAAGGAACCAAGACACATTATTGTCCATGCAGGAGGTGACATTGGTTTATACCTTATTGTTGGCTTATATTTAAATCAGGCACAACATCAGGGATCATCATTTAGAAATGTAGTCTGAAAATTGTGATAAATGGTTACAAAAAAAATTACCTGTGAATTATATAATCGTGATCGATAATGCTCCATACAATAATATCCAAATTAATCCAGCCTTAAATACAAATGACATGGTGAAGTGACTGCACTAAAAAGTATTATGTTCATCCTAAACATGCTCAAATCCGAATTATACGAGTTGATCAAGATAAATAAAAAGCATCATATTAGATACAAAATTCATGAGGTTCTGCTTGAACACGGACATAACGTTTAGCGACTTCCATCCTACCATCCGGATTTAAATCCCATTGAACTCATTTGGGCTGCTGTCAAAAACAAATATTGGTAAACTAAAACATTCACAGACGTTCAAACAGACGTAAATCCAGTGACTATAAATTTAAAAGACGATAGCAGCACAAACATTAACAGCAGTGAAGATGAAGAAAATTTGTATTCAGATAGTGACTCATTAAAGTGTATCATCATGTAACATTTTAATGAACTGTACTACTACATATACGTAATAAAATATGAAAAGAAATAAAAAAAAGTCATGTTTCATTAGCTACCCTGATTGAAACTAATTTAGGTGGGAGAGTCTATATCTTCGCGATAGCTCGCCATCAGCCGTGGCATGTACTGTAATACAATTTTTCCGAGGTCTGGCACCTGATATAATATTGTTCAAATTCTTTCATGAATTTCAGGGCATTCTGTATCCACAAGTTGAGTTTCACTGCTGTTTTGGTTGTATCATTTCTGTAATGCTTTTTTGTTAAGGGTTGTGTTCAATTTACTTTATAATAGTGACACAAAATCAATTGTTATTTTTCGATACAATAGTAATGGAAGAAACTTGTAGCATAGAATCAGAAATCATGAAAAATTATAACCAGAATTATCATGAATATCACTATATATGTAAATAAATTATTTTCAGTTTGGATGGTTTATGAATCCTCTGGTTTTTGGCGACTATCCGACTGTTATGAAAGAGGGAATTCAAAATCACAGTTTACAACAAGGATTTCGGGAATCGCGTTTGCCAAAATTCAGCAGAATACAGCAGATCACCTTGAGGCAATCTTTTGACTTCATTGGTGTGAATAACTATATTTCGTACTACGTTAGAGCTGACAGGAATGTTTCTCAGAATCCAAGTTACAGTAATGATCGTGAAGCTACTCCGTTTGAGGATCCCGAATGGAACACAAACTATGAAAAAAAAATTAAGGTTCGTTGAAAGATTCTTTTACTTTTCATGTACAGATAGACATTGTTTGGAATACCGTGTGGCCACTATTAAAATATGAGAGAAGAGGGTCAGTTGAATAGAGACAACCTGTAGTTCTCGAATTTCAGCCCATCAGTGAAAAAAATTGATGACATTATGATAGGTTACGATTATATTGGACAAAAACCCAAATTCGATCAATTCAGTTTTTGTGGTATCTGTTACTGTTTGAAAAATGTGTCGGATACTTTTTGTCCAAAAATATGATATAGTTGATTCAGGGTTACCAAATTTTTTCAATTCCAGCGTTTCGTATTCTCTAAGCCACCATCAGAATATGTTTACAGAACGAACCTCAACTCAACCTCTCTATCATACACCTTTTCAAAAACCCTATAAATAAAAGTCCATCGGTCACACAACTGAAACTCAAGTTCCAACCCTTGATTTTGGATCTTTCCAAAAAAAAATTCAACTGTACTCGCATTGCATTGAAACCAAAGTAATTTTGAAATACTTTCTTTCAAAAAAATAGAGTGTCAAAAAACTCATTGTTTATTGAACAGCATCATATAATCAAGGAAAAAAGGTACTGATACCTCAGATTTTGTGTTGAATAAGAATTCTCCATGGCATGAAAATGTTCGTTTCTTCGATCGAACATACAACACTTTGGAAAAGTCGTTTCGCCACCAAAATATCCAAAACAAACATATTTTTTGATAAAAAATATCTTAATATTTTCTGATACTCATTCAAAAAGCAACAGAAATTGCGTGAAATGGAATTATTCGTATTTGTGATAGGAATCACACATTAAGAAGTAAGACCTCGTTAATTCTCAGCTCATTTCGACATCAGAAGGTTATCGTTCGTAGGGGATGACAGCTTATGGTTACTGGAAAAACAGATTTCAATAGATATTTGTGAAACCGATCTTAATATTATTAATTATTTTTACCAGTGGACAAAGCCTCGATAACTGCAACTTTTTTTTATTCAACCGACTTCCTATCTCTCATAGTTTCAAAGTTACCCAAACATTCACGTATACCTTCTGGGAAATGATGAGAATCATATTCTGAAAACTAGCACAAACAGGTTTAATGTTATCGAATGAAAACGAAGGAGTTTTTTCATCACTTTCTGTCATACCTCCAAAACCAATTCAATCTTTCATAATGGAACACCCTGTACATTTTCACATTTCCGAATACCTGGCGGTATTACTGTATGTAGGTATAACAAACGTATACCAATTATCAGCCGTTTTTGAGATATTCATTTGTTTTATTCACAATAATTTTGAACAAAAAAATTTATAATTCATATCAGTCTTGGATGCCTGAATTTTCAAAATATCACACAAAGTCTTCGGTACTAGAAACTCATTCTGAAGACATAAAAAAGAACCAGATTCATATTCATTGTTATAATTGAATGAATTTTCTGAAAACGGTTCATTTTATCTGTCATGATATGATACTGACATTATATCATTACCAAAATATACAAGGTTCAAATTTAAGATAAGGAAGTATAGTCGTAGTAAACGATATTGTGCACTCTTAAAGTTGTCGGCACCGTCAAAGGCCAAAAAAACAATACATACAAAACATGTCAAGTAACTATGGAAAGCAGAAGAATAGTGGAATTCCGTAACAAATACTTAGAACAAATAACTTAATATAGACAAGGATAACAGCAAATTTTCTATTTGGACGAAACTTGGTATGACACGACACAGTTACGAACAGGTGGACTAATGGTTCGAGAATGTGTACGCCTAACATGCCTGCAAACAAAGGATCGCGACTAATCATTCTGCATTGCGGATGAAGTAAAGGATGATCCCAAATTTGGATGCGAATAGTTTAAAAGTTTTTGACAAATTCGAGAAAAGATGAAATACAAAGATATTTGATGGATAACAATTTTTTTGAAGAATACTATACCAAAAAGCAACTACTTGAAATTTTACAAACAAAAACATTTGAAAAAGTGTATGCCCTTAAGAGTATTGCTGAAAAGTATGGACACGCCATACTGAGACTTGACTCCTATTTTTGAGTTTTCAATCCCATTGAGTTGATTTGGGGAAATTGAAACAAAGCATCAGGCGTAAAAATAATTTTCCAGAATTTTGATAAGAAGGTAATAGAGTTATTTGAAGAAAAAGTATGTAATATTACCGAAAAAGACCGACAGAAAAGCATTAAAAATGTAATTATAGTTGAAAAAGGCTATATGGAGATTGGACAATGAATTCATTATTGATTTAAATGACGACAAGTGTTTTTGAAGCCCTCCTCTAAGATGCGTCGCAAATTGTGCGTTGTATGCGTTGTATAAGGACAATGTCTATCAACGCATAATTTGTGGCATGTCGAATTGTACGCCCATATGCATTGAGTCTAATAGTGAACATTTTCAGAACATGATTCTTTAGTATACTGTTTATCCACGGTCATCCCACTATACCCTATACCTGAAACAAATAGTATAATTATCCACACCTGGTGAAATTCAATTTGTTTTTTTACAGATTTACACAGATGGATTAGGAGAAATACTCAAAAACATTAAAGACAATTACAAAAATCCGGTGATACTCATTTCAGAACAAGGATACAATAATCAAGGAGGTTTGAATGACACTGACCGAGTTTTATATATCAAGGTTAATTTACACTTGCTCTTAACATCATAAACTTATCAAAAATATTATACTTCATCTTCAGCATATATCAAAACTTCAATGAGTAGGTTTGTAGTATCCACATTGGGTTATCACTTTTTCAAAAAGATTATACTGCATGCTATGTTAGTTTTATATTCAGGAGCGATAACTATGAGTGAAATCAAGCAAAAATTGTCTTTTCAGGTTCTGTTATTCTTAGTAATCTCAATGGATGCTACAGAGATTTCCCTGCAAACGGCAAATTATCTTACGTAATTTTTTCGTTTTGTCATTATTTTCGAAAATGAACCTTTCAAGTTCTGTGAGTAGGTTAGGTTAGGTTAAGTCCAAAGTGAGTGGGTCTATTTGACCCCCCACTGCAACCCGCAAGGGTTTATGCTCACACTTATTCACACTCGACCAAATAAACCCAGCTTCTTAACGAAGCCGATTAATTTGTATGGTGAGTGGTCTTTCAGGTCAGATGGTAAGAGTACGGCTTTGCCGAACTCTAAAAACCTGATTCAGTCCAAACAGAGGCGACACACACTGTCTTACGACAGTCCGACTCTCTGCATATGATGATTCAAATGACAGTGACCTGTAAGAAGGCCTGTTAGACGTCGTAGTTCATCCCTACTGTAGTCCATCAACTGTTTGGTATCAAGCTTCGAACGGTGAATAAACATCTTGGAGTAAGCCAATCCTGGAAGATTCCTCCAGAAGTCCATAAATCTTCTTGCCATCCAGGTGTTCAGTCTTTGTTTGCCAATGACAGGTTCTGGTCCGATGAAGTTGCTTGCAGCACCCTCCTTTGCAAGGGAGTCAGCAGCCTCATTGCCTTCCAGGCCAGTATGGCCGGGAATCCAGACCATAGATAATGTATTGAGTCTTCCTACCGAGGAGAGTCGTTTTTGACAATTTGCTACCGAATTAGACGTTGTTCGGTGGGAGCCAAGAGTTTTCAACGCCGCTTGACTATCCGAGAATATTTTTATTGACTTGTGTATGAGATTGGATTCTTCCAATCTCTCCGCACACAATTCAATAGCAAAAATTATCGCTTGACGTACAGTCGCATAGGTTTCTAGGCAGGTTGGTATCTCTGTCCCAGGTCTACGACTGAAAACACCTGCACCAGAACCGGAAGGTGTTTTTGATCCATCTGTGAATCAACAACTATCTGCTTTTAATATTTCCTTCTCCCGGAGGATCCAGTCCTCTCTACTCGGGAACATTACTTTATGAAGCAGTTCGTAGTTGACAGTTGTGGAGTGGGGGTATATCTAGAAGGATCTCCATGGCCGCTGACGGTGTGATACTGATGGTACAACTGATGGACGACAAGCCTGTCTTTGTAAGCCAGAGTGCTTCGCCTGGGCCTGTGAGTAACATCAATAACAGATTTTGAATATAGAACTAGATACTCCACGGCATTTTTTGTGATGTTTATTTTTCATAAATTCACCCAAAATACATTTCTGGTTGATTTTGCCATATGATTACATTGTATCTAATAATTTCACAATAGAATCCTAATTTTTCCAATTGTTAAGGTTATGGAAATATTTTTTCAAATACTTAGTTCATCAGAGAAAAATCCATTTGAACAAAATTTTCAAATTTCTGGTTAAATTATCAATTATCCATTGAACATGTATCTTCTTCAGTTTGATTTGTTTGTATTTTGTTGTCTTAGATTTCAAATTTGTGCTGATTTTTTTTCGATCTATTTCCTGAAATAATTATCTTCTCTTCAATTGCATTTAGATAGTAGAAATTTGTACAAAATCCGAATTTCGCCTTATTCGTTGCATTTTTTACCTTTTTATACGTTTTTGAAATTAACATTATTATTATTATTGTGACTGATGAGTACCGGCGTCCTGTTCGTTATTTATCTTCGTACTCAAGTTATTTAAGTAGTGAAATTACAAAAAATACATGCTGTACGAACTCTACATTAAACAGGAATCGCTAAAGAAAAAACAAAGCATGATTCAGACGTTTATCTACAACGTTGATGTTAAATAATTCACTCAACGTATTTCTGAAATTGATTTTGAAAAAAATCACATCGATCTAGTAGTGGAATCATGAGCCAAAACAAAACTGTAATATTTCGAATGATTAATCGAATGATTAATCATTTGAAAAAGCTAATGTTTTAGCGAAACATGTTATGATTATTTTCAATAAAGTTAGTGGAGATCAAATCGTTTAAGTGTAGTTTGTGAAATTTCGAATGATGCTGATAATGAAATCTATAAGAGATAAAGATTACACGATTATAAAAAACGAACCATTTAGAAGATCTATTGCGATGATCTGGAATGAAAATTGCGATTTAGTAATTAGTTTCGACGAAAAATGAAGATTGACAAGATTTTGCCAATAACATATTCAGGTTGATGAAACCACATTCACAAATCCCAGTATTTTCACAACAAAATAACAAGCAAGTTTCTGGATACTCAATCCCACGGCCTATTCGGGTAAACCTGCGACATCCAACGATATATTAGGTAATGAACTACTTATACACTATTTCAATGAAGGCAAAATGACCGGTATAAAAGATATGAATATAATCAAAGGAATTTTGAACGACGGTTGAACGAAGGTTTTTACATAATTCTAGAATAATAAGGGAATATTTAACAAGAGTTTAACAATTAACCAAAGTTCCAGTTGAATGGGAGGAAATTTGAAGAATGAAGAGTATGAAACCATAATTCTCACACAACAGATTATTCATAACTGGATGAAATTTGCTTTGGGAAGCACTGAAGAAGAAGACATATTTTTGGAAAAGGAAGTTTTTGGCTTTCTATTACTCCATCTTGATACAAAAAAAGTAACTTTCAGACACAAATCTGGAAGAAAAACCCTTCCTGAAACAGCTAGTTTCATATAAACACGAGAGAAAATTCTTTTCGAAACAAATACTCAGTGGTAAACATCGATGTTTCGCCGTAAGACACTTGCGTTAAGGCTCTTCAGTACCAATCCAGATAACATTTCAATAAAAAACACACATTTCATTCATAAATTACGATTTTTCATGTCACGGAATAAGTTTTCGATGTCATCGATGACATCGATGAAGCCTCAAAATACACTCACATATACCTGCTTACTTTTTGTGGTTCTCGTTAGGAATTTGCATTACCAACAAATATTCTCTGTGAATTAATCATGGGAAAAAACTTTCTTATGTGTTTTTCTAGTTTTTCAGAAAATTGAAAACTGTTTCCCAGGTGCCAACTGGAAAGGGGCTGTTGAAAGGCTACACCAACTCCCTGCTGTCCCAAATTAATTTCTAAAATGTCCACATGTTCAGCTCCAAAATTTTATCAGTATCATGTTGATCATCCAATTTCAATCAATGCACCTAATAACTTCAAAAATGTCGATTTCAATGTTCTTATATTTACAGTGTAACAGATCATGAACCAATTTTTATCTCATCAATTGTCAAATCATTGATCTTTGTTTCAGTCTGCGTTAAATGTAATTTGGAACGCCATTAATGTTGATGGAATACGAATTAAATCGTATTTAATTTGGAGTCTCATGGATGTTTTTGAATGGGTATCTGGCTATGCGTAAGTACTTATCCTAATTGAGAAGATAAATGATAAAAAATATGATGTCTGCAATATCTTCTCGTCAATGTAAATAATTTATAATGCTGAAGAAATATCAAAATACGCGTAACAGGCCAAACCTGTAATGGAAATATTATGAATATTGGTCGTATCATCGTATCAATCATTCGAACGGAACAAATAGTCTGGGTCATAAAATCCTTTTTTTGGAAGTTCTGTTCAAGGGCACCGAAAATCATGATCCAGGGCTCAATCGATTCGGAATGACCTCCAGCGACCTTTTGAAAAGTTTCAAGAGGGGCTCGAAAAAAATTGCAAAAGTTATAAACAATTTAGAAAAAAAAGAGGGGGTTTGGTTTTTTGCAAAAATCTCGAAAAATATTGAAGATATCCGAAATTTGAAAAAAGATCCTTAAAGAGGAGGAAATTTACTAAAAAAAAGTCACACCTCCCGGAACTCTATCACCAATATTATGATTTTAATTTAGAGGCGAAAATAGTGCTAAAAACAGACGATGCGCGTCCCGCACGCGCTGACCGATACGGACCTTTGAACAATGAAAATTATTTTAACCCATTAAATATCATTATTAAGGAAAACAAATTCACATACCTCCGAGACTGTCCTAGACACTTGAATAAACGAAAATCAGTAGTTTTCAAACAAATATATCGTAAAAATTAAATTTGTTCAAAACAAATTGTTTCTTCCATTCCATTCTGACTTTAACATCTTGTTTTTATAGTTTCAGTGACATTTTTATTCTTGTTCTTCACTGAAATCACGGATCATTTAAAAAAAATCAGATGGAAATCTGATAAGTTTATATTCATATTGCATATCAATTTTTTATATGTATCCTATAACATTGCTATTATCTGAACGCTTGAACAGGCTATTTTTGCATCAGAAGATATTTTACAAATAAATATTTAATATTTTATGTTACAGGCCCAAACTTGGTCTGTACAGCGTAAACTTCACTGATCCGAAGAGGACAAGGACTCCGAAAGAATCAGCAAAATTCATAACCGAATTTTTGAAAACTAAAACATTGACGCTGTCTTAAAAACGTGATACAAAAAACTGCAAAACTTCACCTGAATTGGATATAGCTCGAAAAATAAATATTGATAATAAATGATAATTGCCTAGCAATCTGAATATTTTTTCAAAAATTCCAAATACCTATTATAAATATAATCATCTTGGCGAAGGACTCATAGAATATGTCCTCTAAATTTCTGTGGAACTGGTGATTTATTAAAGTGTACAAAATATATTTATTCGAAAAGTGAACAATGCCGCAACATAACTCCAAAAATTAAAAATTAATGGGGGCTGAAGAAAAATGGAATATAATTATGTATATAGTGGAAATGATCTGTTATCAACTCCGACCAATCACCTAGAGTATGGAAAAAGGATTTCTAAATATAATATCAATGGCCTTCTATTCAAACAATGAATAAAGAAATTAACATTGTGATTCTCAATGAATCGAAGGAATTTCACCTCATAGCTTGCTTAGATCATGAAAATTCTTGCTCATTATTAATTCCAATATCTAGAAGTGGGGATATACTTCGAAGACCCTCAAAACTTCTTGAATTCTAATTTATGACGAAAGATGAGAGTAGGGTATATCTCAATATACTCAAGGGCATATTCAAAATGATATTGTGAACAAATGATGAACTGTATAAGTTGCTGCTTACAAGAAAATGTTTCTATAGTGGTTATCCGGAGTACCATAAGAAAAATTTTAATAAATATAGTTTAAAAAANTTCAAATAAAATTAAAGTAAATTATTGATATCTGAAATTAATACAAATTATAAAACAACAAAAATCAATTGGCGCTCCAGGGCGACTTGACAAATTCCAGTGGCCCATTTGCTTTTTCAGCTGCAGGAAAACCCGGAAAAACCTGCAGCACCACATCATCTGAAGATCTTTTCAGGGTTAAGTGGAAGAACATTTTCCGTGACGTATTGCATTACGGACGATGAACTTCACCCTTTATTCCACTTGCTAGTTTTTTTTGCTTATGAAATAATAAAGACGATAAAATTATTATCAGTGTTATCACTTTGTGATCTAATTGTGTAGAAAGTGTGACAGGCGATAGTTTTGGTATATTTTCTAACTTAAGATCTCTTCTATTTGAAGCATCCTATTAAGAATTTGAAATTTCACACTCCAATTCTGGATTTTTATATGCCTACCATCAAAAGTAATGCTTCTTAAATTTATGACAAGACTTGATAATGCCCTATCTCCCTCACCGCCTTCTAACGAACTTGTATCTTGTGGGTGGGACTATATCAAAATTTCAAAGCTATCAAATATTATTGCAGAAAACATTTATGTTCACCTAGGTTAGGTGCAAAGTGAGTGAGACTATTCGAGCCTCCACCACAACCCGCGAGGGTTTATTGTGGCTCACACATATTCACTCTCGACCAAATAAACCCAGCTTCTTAAAGAAGCCGATTAGTTTGTATAGTGAGTGGTCTTTCAGGTCAGATGGCAAGAGTACGGCTCTGTCGAACTCTAAAAACCTGATTCGGTATCCAGCGGGGCAGGCAAAAGTGTGTGTACTGTTGTTTTATCATTTTCCAAACAGAGGCAACACACACTGTCTCCCGACAATCCGAGTCTTTGCATATGATGATTCAAATGACAGTGATCTGTAAGAAGGCCTGTTAGACATCGTAGTTTATCCCTACTCTTCAGTAGCAAGCTTCGAAGGGTGAATAAACGCCTTGGAGTGGGGCAATCCTGGAAGATTCTACCAGAAGGCCTCAAATCTTCTTGCCATCCAGGTATTCAATTTTTGTTTGGCAAAGCGTAAAGCGATGCCAATAACAGGTTCTAGTCCGATGAAGCTGCTTGCAGCACTCTCCTTCGCAAAGGAGTCAGCATCCTCATTGGCTTCCAGGCCAGTATGGCCAGGAATCTGGACCAGAGACAATCTGTTGAGTCTTCCTATCGAGGAGAGTCGTTTTTGACAATTTGCTACCAAATTAGACGTTGCTCGGTAGGAGCCAAGAGCTTTCAACGCCGCTTAACTGTCCGAGAATATTTTTATTGACTTGTGTACGAGGTTATATTTTTTCAATCTCTCCGCACACAATTCAATAGCGTAAATTTCCGCTTGAAATACAGTCGCATAGGTTCCTAGGCAGGTGAAAACACCTGCACCAGAACCGGAATGCGTTTTCGATCCATCTGTAATCCAACAACTCTCTGCTCTCAATATTTCCTTCTCCTGAAGGATCCAGTCCTCTCTACTCGAGAACAGTACTTTATAAGGCAGTTCATAGTTGACAGTTGGAGGCATAGTCAGAGGTCATTTCCAGAATGCTGTGACTTCCTGTGTCAACCAACAGTCTGTTGCACTCTGCAGTGAATTGATTTATGTAATTGGCAATGTGCACAAGTCTATATGCAGTCCTTGGAGTATACTTTGACACAAAATTGAATTTCAATCGCCATGTTGAATATGTCATAAATAGAAGCAACAGAACACTGGGTTATAAAATTTTTGCAAACTGTTTCCAACTAAGACACATACATTACTTATGCATATAAAAAAAACTCAACTCAATATCAAAACTATCACGAATAGTTGGGCTTTTTATTATCATCTGTAAAGAGTTCTTGAGAAAATGAATACGTCGCATGCAAGCTAAAATTTATTCTTACTTTTCAAACTAAAAACTTATTATGAGGATTCGATTTTTCAATGTGAATCTTACGGAAAATGGTAATATAGCAACCCAAAATTGTTGATGTTGGTCAGATGAATACCCATAAATCATATATCAAGTATTAAATTGATAGGCCCTTTTCTATTTTCATTTCGAGAAAATTTCAATTGTGATGGTTAATTGAACTTTTTGAAAAATGGATTGGTTCCAACAAGATGGATGTTCTGTCATTTCACCAGTGACGTTTGTCAATGGCTGAATAGGGAATTTGGTGGTAGATGATTAAGACGATTTATCGATCCAGGATAGCCTTTCTGTTCGGCAGACATAACACCACTTGATTTTCTCCCTACAGGAATATTCATGAAAAAACGTATATGAGGATCAACCTTTCACTAGTATTGAAGAGCCTGAAATGTGAAATATTTTGGCATACTCTTTGCCAAAATATTTCACTTGAAATAAATTTTATCAAGGAATAATTAGACTCATAGAACGAGTAGTTGAAAATAATGAAATTGGATGGTTGAACATGGAGAAAAGAAGGTTATTTCATTCACACTCTTTTTTCCATAAAATAATTTCTCCAAAAAAACATTCATATTTTCATAGAAAAATTACATATCGTCCAGACATCCATAACTTGGATACCTATTCGATATAAAAATATGCTGCTTGCTATGCCAAAATTCAAAAAAGAATTGTTCAGGCGGTTTTTCAAGTCCCAAATTTGTCAAAATTATAATTCTGTCTCCAACTCCATCAAACAATTAAATTTCACAAATTTCAAAACTAAATATAAAAGCTATTTGTTCAAATAAAATTAAAGTAAATTATTGATATCTGAAATTAATACATATTAAACAAAAATTAATTGGCGCTCCAGGGCGACTT